TGTGACTCATCATCTGTGGCACCAGTGCCATCGGTGTGGATTGATCGAGAAAGAGAGAGAGAGAGAGAGGCTGACTGATATGCAGCTGCGTATGCCACACAGCGAAGCTCGCGAACTTAAACAATTAGCTGTGTTATGATAATATTAAATTGAATGAAATTATTTTCTGTAATGAATTTTTTGGGTCACTTTAAGTAAAAGCAGAAAACTATGTGTTAGTTTCTTTTTTATGGGTCATTTTTTCAAGCCGTTTGAATAGGCAACCCTGGGAATTCTGATTTGACGCTCTTATTTAAGGCTCATAGTGACACATCGGTGGCAGAGATGACTCAGACAATGTCACACTCAGGTAAATTAGCAAATAATAGGAGGATAGAAATTCACCTTTACTCCTCCCCCCTCCCTTTTGTATTGCCTGGACCATTAACATCCAGAGAAGATTGTTGCTTCCATCTGCAGTAATTTATATTTGTTGTGTTGTGGGACCTCGCTGCACTTTAATATGTGTATGTGAAAGGGCGTAGGCAGAGAGAGGCAGCAAGAATCCTGGTCATGCAAACAACTTAATAGACATGGCATGAAGAGGACCATGGGTTGCAATGTGGCTTGCAGTATGAGTATAAGCTGAGCTATCAGCTGGTCCACGTCATCACTAGAATACTCACTTTGTTTCTGTCCCGTATAAGATGTTGTGAGATAAAGATAAGCAAGATGATTCACTTTTTTTCTCACCGTATTGCAGACAACATTAGTAAATACACAGTTTAGAGTTTGAAATGACATTACAGCCACCTTAATCTAGCTTCATTTGTCGGACCTGTTTTCCTGCTAGGAGTGGCCGAGCAGTTTGCCATCGCGGAGGCTAAGCTACGTGCTTGGGCATCTGTGGATGACGATGATGAGGAAGATTTCAATGATGAAGACTCCCACATCAGCGGACAGACTCACACGGTATCCAGCCAAAACTCAGGTATCCAACTTTGCATCATTCTACATCAAACATCTCATCTTTGCACCCTGTCACCTCATCGGTGAATCCACTTCCCGGTCTTCTGACTCTTTGTTCCTCCTTCAGAAGCCACCATCTACAGTTCCACCTCTGGAGCACCGCCCGGGGTGGACCGCACTGAGACGCCACCATCCGATGGTCCCCTGGGCTCCCACAACAGCAGCCTGCCCTGTGGCAGGCTAGCAACTGAAAATGCCCCACAGTCATCACAAAGCAACTCACCCACTTTGCCCAGCGACTCCATGAGTACGTGCCTGGAGGAGGAGGAGGAAGAGGAGGAGAGGCTGGATAGCCTTGAGGAGCAGCCGGCTCCTTTGCAGGAGCACCGCAGCGAAGTGTGCATCCACAGCAAGCCTGAGTGGAGGCCGAGGTGCAGGAGCAGCAGGTTTGACTCCTGCTACTCCACCTCTCACTCCGAGTCTCCTGGAGAGGAGGACGAGGAAGACGAGGAGGAAGAGGAAGGCAGCGTGTTTCACGAGGTCCGCGTGTGGCACTGCAGCCCCAGGAGCTTTTTCTCTGACCGGGCGTCTTCCGGGGTGGCGTCATTCGATGAGGAAGAAGAAGAGAGAGAAGAAGCAGAAGGAAAAAAAGAGTATTTGATGTGATGTGTCGTCCACCTTTTTGTCCCCTTGAGTCTGTGTTGATTCTGGATATTATGCTTCATCCTTACACCTCTCCTCCTCCTCCTCCTCCTCCTCCCCTTCCTCCTCCACTCATTCTGTCTCCTGTCTCTCATCCTCCAGGCCTTTCATACTGATCTTGCTCCACTGTTTATCGCTGCTGTAAACAGTCAATATGTTGAGAGAGTTGAATCAGAATGTAAAGCTGTTGTTCACTAAGTTTTGTACGTTTATTTTTTGTGTGTGTGTGAACAGTCATGTGTTGCTATTGCATTGGTTTTCTATGGATATTTTCTAGTGTTGTTTCCTCTGGGTCACGCTGTGTCACGTGGGTTGGGCTCTGTTTGATATTGAATGCCTGAATGTCTTGCATATATAAATATGAGTTTTTGAAAGAAGATACTTTGTTGTTGTTATTTTATTTTTTTTCTCCGCAATCCAAAAAGCAAGAAAGAAACACGACTGCTCGTTTACCCTTCAAATGCAGTTTTTTTTCCCTTTAAATTTAATCATTCACTCATGTACAAAAACAAGTTCATGTCCTCTGAAAAATAACAATGGCTGTTGACTGCAAATGCATTATTCTCCTATGTACAATAGCATGTTCGTAACTCTTTCATATATATATATACAAAGCATATACAGGCCAGTGCCATATAAAGGGAGATACTACAGACTTATTGCTTAACTAGATACGCTGCAAATGAGCTTATACACTCTCTAAGTTTAACTCCTTTATAATTAATCTTATATGGCAAGCACTACTTCACATTCCTAAATGCAAACAAGAAAAAAAAGTTAAGACATTAATAAAATCTCTGCACAGATGCCTGCAAGGAGAAAAAAAAATACTCAAAACAAAAAAAAAAGGGCTGGTTGATGTGCTGCGGTGCTATCACAGGAGACTGAAATATGGCTCAAAATTGTTTCATGAAGCGAAAATACTTACACATCATTTGAAGGTCGTAACAAGGACTCACACACACGCTTGTAGCTCTACAAGGTTTTTTTCCTTTTTTTGGGGGGGACTTGTGGGTGTCACGGGCTTCAGACAGTAGTTACATTTCTCAACGCTGCATTAGAGGTCAGGCTGGAGTAAATGTCATAAAGACACGTGGTAACATATCGTGATGTTTAATATCTACAGGCCACATACGGTACGGTATATGTGTGTATTATACGTATAAATGTGTGTGTGTGTGTCTGTGTGTGTTCTCTATACAACAGCCAGTATATTCCTGTAACTCAGAGCCAAAGCGTTGTTCCTTCATCGCTAGACACGAATGTAGAGGCAGTTCAGTCTGCATTGCCCTTATTAAGCCAGACAAGGCTACATGTGCATTAAATTATAGTCATGGTAATTACAATGTGCTTCACTGTTCTTTAGAGCCCTGTACTAAAGCTTGGTGGACATTTGGAAGCTGCCTTTGTCAATGTGTTTATAGTTCCCAGCTCATTGTGGACTACCGGGGGCTGATGCAACCAGTATTTAATAGCAGAAAAAGAAGAAGAAAAAAACCCGCCCAAACCTCATGATATGCTGCAACATGAAGCTCTGACAGGACAGCAGAGTGTTATAAATAATGTAGTCTGAACCTTTACTGCATTGTTAATGTAAATTTATTGCCTATCACCGAAACACATAAAACAACACCGCAATACGTCTTAACATTATGACCCTCGGATATATAAACCCACCGCTAGTGAATAGGTAGTTGTTTGAAGTCATACCATCGTGTGCTCATTAGAAATGTTCTTTGTTTTTCTGTGCTTTCTCTTATTGTTTTGATTTTTCCACTCGCAGTTAATCGTACGTCACTCATTTCTGTCCTTGTAATGTTTGGCATCATGTTTACAGGATGTTGATTTGGCATGAAGACCCAAAAGTTACGAGTCTGATCCAGATTTGAGTGTGGCAAAGAAAGTTGCGCTCTCGCACACACATACACACACACACATATATATGCACACATATCACACACACATAAAAGATAAAGCTGGAGGTGGTGTTCTGTGTTTTTGCTGTCAACAAATCCCAGAAAAAAGACCAAACTAACACCATCTTACTTGACAAAAGCAGCCTGTGGTGTTGGAAGTAGGTTAGTGGGTCTGGAAACTTAATGAACCACAGAGTTGTACTGCTGGACGTGATTCTCTATTACAATAGAGGCAGTTGTAGTTTCCACCACACGCTTCCTAATCTATCTATCAGAAACGGTACATAGCTTCTAATACAATTTCTTTATTATTCACTCCGTTTTTGTAATGTTATCTAAAAACAAGCTACGTTAGAAAACCAGTCTTGCTCAGGGGGCTGGGGTGGGGGTGTTCCTCTATTATAGTCAACAGGAGTTATATCCCTCACACACCTCTCTGGCCATGTAAATGTATTTAATCCACGCTAAAAATAATCCTAACAATTAATGCACCGGCGTAACATGATGATATTACAGGATAGCAGTTTATGTGTTTGTTTTTTTTATCAGACTACTGGTTCATGCAGTTAACCTCTGCATGTAGTGTTTGCTACTGTTGAGTTTTATCATTTACCTCATTAAAATTATTTTTACTTGAATTACAACTGGTAATTCATCTTAAATGTGTCTAATTAATGATATTTAGTGTCCACTATGTGGACAAAAGCATTGGGCCCCTACACACCACACATACAGGAGCTGCTGGTCTATGGAAACCCATGTCATGTGTCATAGTCCTGGGTGTGACCCAGTGTTTTATATTTAATTTAGGTTTCTTGATTATTTGTTATTCATGGTTTCCGTTCTCTTGTGGTTATATTTTGTGTTCTAGTTTCAGACAGTATGCCCTCCCTGTGTCTGTGTTATGTCTTCTCTGTGCTTTTTTTTTTCCTGTACCACAGTTCATGCCTCTGTCTCAGCCTCTGTCAAGTCCCTGTCTCTGTGTTATACTTCCTGTTTTACTTTGACAGTCTGTCTTTTGTCATTGTATTCTGCTTTGCTTCCTTTGTCTTGTTAGGCCTGATTACTCCCAGCTGTGCTCTCCTCCTGTGTCTCATTCCCTCGTTATCCCTCTGTGTATATAAGCCCTGTGTTTTCCTTTGCTCTTTCTTGCATCATATCTTCATTATGCTTTGCGTTTCCCGCCGTCTTTCCAGCCATAATCAAGTTTACAGTTTCTGGTTTGTTTTCTAATTGAAGTTTCTTGCTTCCTGTTTTTAGTTTAGTTTTGTATTTAATGTTAGTTTTTTTCCAGGATAAAAGTTGCCATTTTAAGTTTATTTCTCTGTCTTGAGTCCGTCATCCTGCCTGCCACATAGCACATTGTGACACCATGAAGCTCCCAGTGCACAGTTTTTGTGCTGATCTTCCACAGCATGTCTTGATCCTGTTTTCCTTCTCTCACCCCAACCGGTTGCAGCAGATGGCCCCTCCCTGAGCCTGGTTCTGCTGGAGGTTTCTTCCTGTTAAAAGGGAGTTTTTCCTTCCCACTGTCATCAAAGTGCTTACTCATGCTTCCTCACAATCATATAATTGTTGGGTTTTTCTCTGTGTGCATTATTGTAGGGTCTCCCTTACAATAGAAAGCACCTTGAGGTGACTGTTGTTGTGATTTTGTGCTATATAAATAAATTTGAATTGAATTGAAAAATGTTAATGTCAGAGGAGGACTGGAGCTCTTTGACCTCACTCTGACACTTTGGGACTGAGTTCCTGTGGTTGCTAAACACTTCCACTTTGCAATAAAACCATTGTGGAATATCCAGGAAGGAAGAAACTTCATGAACCAACTTGCTGCAACAGTAGCATTCTCGATCAGAGTTAAATGAAACAAAATCTGACTAATACTGTCGTCGTCGGAGCGATTCCTATGACCTGTGGATGGACAGACAGGCGGGTGACAGATGTGATGCCATAGCTAAAATAAATGAATAAATAAAGTACATTTTTGCTCCCTGATGACTTTTACTGTAGTGAGGGCTGTCCATAGAGAACAACCTTAGTCCCTACTCTTCCCTACAGTCACATGTACTGACGCTGAGGCATTACATGTGAAAGCACTCTGTATCCCTTAAGCATCATTGTATTTTTGTAAATTGTGTATTTTAATCCAAAGTTGTTTTCTTTGTTTGCTTTTAGCATAAACCAAGTGTTGTTGCCTCAAACCAACAAAACACACAAAAAAAGGAAATGTTCAGCCCTAAAGGGAAGTGCAAAAGCAGTAGTCACAGATGAGACTCACCCCCCTTTTTCACGTTTTTTTTTCCCACAAACCTTCCTAAATCTTTTTTTTCTGTGATATCATCCTCGTCCTCATTGTACTTTGTGCAATAAAATAAGATGAGAAAAAGGATCCTATTGGCATATTGCCATTTTAATGTTTGTGTGCCTGGACTTTAATGATAAGTATGTTTGACTCTTTAAGGGATTTGGGCTAATGCAGTTTAAAGAGAGCAGCTTCAGTGTGAAATAGCACACTGACCAACTCCCCTCAAAACTCAGCTGTGCAGGGACTGAGAGATGGCCTCTGCTCTGCCATCATAGAGATAAAGTGTCTCAAGGAGGAAAACAGATCTCAAAAGGAGCAGACTGGCCTTGTGGAAGATGGGCAAAAGCAGCAAGTGAAACGACTCAGAGAAGAGCTCAAATAAAAAGTTGAGCTCTTTTAAAGCACGAAAAAGAAAAAGAAAAAACAAGTATAGATTCAGTAAAGCTCTTGCTTAGACCCTTGACCACAATCAATTAGACAAGGAGCTGAGAAGGAGTAGACAACCCCAGATAAACACTTGTGATGCTCTAGAAGTGAGCTTCAAAGAGGAGGCGGCAAGCCGTCATGGTTTATGAAGGAGGTAAAAAAGGAGGAGAAGAGAAACACTGATTAAAAGAACTGGAGGAGTGAAAGAGGAGCTAGAGAGAGGCAAGAGAGGAAGATGAGGAGGTCAAACTCATCATCTCCAACTACAACCAGCTGCAAGTTGACAGCTGGATGCACGTATGTGTATAAACTCTTTGTCCAGCAGCTGGCATCTAACAAAAAGGAGCTGAAATAAAGAAAAGAAGAACAAGAAGGGGAGAAAAATTAAAGCCAATGCTACTGGACCATGAATCCAGTTTAACACAGCAGAAAAGACTACAAAGAGCCCTTTCATTCCAACCCCCTGAGCCCTCTAATCAGACTTGGCATTCTTTATGAAGGCCAGCAGGGGGCGACTCCTCTGGTGGCAGCAAGACCACCAGAATAGTGTAGTATAGTGTATAGTCTATAGTCTATGTGAAAGTGACCCTTTCCCAAAGTTTCTGATGACTCTTTGGGTCAATTGCTAGCTACAGATTATCTATAATATAATATGAGACTCTTTTTGTAAAATATGATCGTTATTAGCTCGGAACGTAGATTATTCAGGGTACGCTCACGGGCACCAATCTGTTACTGAGTGCTGTGTTCTTGGTTTCACATGTATGTATGTTTGTATGGATGTATAAATGGAGAAACCAGTTTACAAATTGTGGATTCAACTTCATTGTCTTCCGCAGGCGTAGCAGAGCAACATTTTAAAACCAAAAATCCTGATATTTGAATTTTATACCCTGTAAATATTGACTCTTTTGGTCAGAAAGTGCTACTTTTGGTCCTTCCAGGAGATTAGCTGTCAGCATTAAAAACATAAAACAAAACCAGCTTTATCCCTCATATATCTTTCAAGCACTCGCTGACTGTCATACCACGAGTATCTAGGCTGGACTTGGAGGTGAGTGTGACCCCAACAAATGTAAGAAACGTCAACATTCATGAGGCGACAGTGTGGATCTGATCATTCCGACTGATCCTCAGTGTGGCCTGTGCTACCCTCCCCCCCAGGTTCGGATTGGCTGTTGTTTAGAGACGGAGGCGCCTCCTCTTGCTCCATTTCGTCTGGCTCAGGAGTTTGGTTGGAGGGGTCAAAGTCACAGGCCAGCTCCGATTCCTCGGTGTGGGAGGGGCTGCAGTCAAAAGTAAACTCAGACTGATCCTCTGTGAACGAGGGGCTTTCCTGGAGCGGCAGCTCTGACGAGGGATTTGTGATGTCGCCGGGGCTGGCTTCGAACTGCACGTTTGTTTCGTCCGAAAAGTTGACAGGGATCTCTTTGTACTGGAGATCTGGCTGATCCTCCACATTTGGAGGGTTGGGTTCCCGTGGCAAAGAGAGCCCCCTGTGGCGGATGCACAGCTTGTGAAGTTCAGTTACCTCGGATACATTTGTGGTGTTCCCACTGTCACGGAAACTGGCCAGCGGAGGGCGCACTTTCACTCCAGTCACCGTCACTGAGCCTTCGATGGCCTTACGCAGCTGGAGATGCGGTCAGCCCGAAAAAAAAAGAAAGACAGGAAGGAGAGCCAAGAAAAGAGGTGAAGAAAGAGGAGAAGTGGAACATATAACATATAAATAAAACAGCTTTCATCAGACAGAATTGCACACCTCTTTGAGAGAAACCACTCCAACCAGTCGTCCCATGCTGGTCACATAGGCGTGGTCCAGACCAAGGAGAGAGAAGATGGTGTGAGTCTGTGGAGGAGGAGAAAAGGTGGGTCATGCCCTGGATACAGACTCAAAGGGAGTTCACATGCATTTTGGATCTGGGTTATAGAAACTGCATCATGTTTCTCCCTTTTCAACATGGACACTGTGTCAGAGAAGACGGTGCCAGAGTCATAAAACTGAACCAACTAACCACAGCTCGCTGCGATTTATGATGCATGGCAATCACAGGTATTCGGAAAGGAGATTAAGGAATCAAAGCAACAGTCTTCAGGTAAAACCAGGTAAGCTCATGGGTGCTGTGGTTAATTTGGTATAACGCTCCTGACCTTCAAGATAAATGTGTTGGGTTGGACCATTAAAGGGCTGATTTCATGGGAGCAGCAGTTTAGAGTTTGAACTTAGCAATCAGCACACATTCATTCAAAGTGCTTTTCATTATTAAATAATAATAATCTTACTATAATAAGCTCATATACAGCGCACATAGCTGTCTTTGAGAGAGCTCATTTACTACTCAGAAGGTTGGTGGTTCGATCTCTATGTGCCATCTTTGTGCAACATGTTGATCTCGATGGGTTCATCTAAGCGTGAATGTTAGCTAGAATGCACTTAAGACAGAAAATAAAGTGCTCGGGTGATTCAGACATGTTACATAAAGCGCTTTGTGTTCGAGCAGAAGAGCACTACACAAGAACCAGCCCATTTACTTATACAATGAAAGTCCAAAAATCCAAAAGAAGAACAATAAGTCTGTATTTTTAATATTAATTTGTTTGTTGTTCATGAGAAGCTGTTTCTGCCTTCTGATTATATACAGTGATATAAGGAAGATGAAAAGAATACATAATAAATGAGCACCATACTGTCTGTGTTTTCTTACAAGAGGGAAGAGAACGAGCACATCAAAAACTAGAAACTTAGATTTGTATGGAGCCTTTCAAGAAACAAGAAAAAAAAGAGTGGGTTCATGGATTTTCTAACATCAGTGTTAGTGACTTGTTCTGCATATTAGTCTGTGACTAAAGGGACCATTTTCATTTTATGAGGCGTAATGAAAAAGGTCGGCCCATAAAAGGCATACCTGATTTAAACTTTATATGCCCGCAAAGGTCATCTTCTCATGCCTGTCCAGACAGCTTCTGGCACAGCTGCTATTTTTAGATCCCTTGAAGACCCATTATGACCACTTGCACGGTTTGCTTTGTTTTATTTATTTTTTTTGCATTTTTTCATTCAGTGTTCTGCACTGTGAAACTGATCCTCCAGTGACCGATGCAAGCTTCTACTATAAAGTCCTGGTGGTGTCAGAGAAAATGTATTCAGCAGAAGTGAGCAGAATTACGACACTTACCACTGTTTGCGCAGAAGAGGAGCGAGACAAAACCAGAAGCTGGCATTAAAGGGTTGTGTTGAGTTCACACTGACGTAATATTTTAAAAGCATCGTGCTAATGCAACTGAAGGAGCATAATGTCTGCACATTTTTTGTGTGTGTGATTTATAGTTAAAATTTGTATTTCATTTGTGTTGCTAGTTGTTTGTTTATATTGCACCTTATGCAGAGATGTTTGCTCCACCAGCTGGAAGGGTGCCGGATCAATCTTGCAGTTCTTGAAATCCACCGGTTCGTCAAGCTGGTGCTCCTCCCACTCTGTTATCTGCATTAAGGAGGACACTGGAACCTCTAAACTCTGAATCCAAAGAAAGCTCATTTCATATGTTAAATCTTTTGTTAGTGTAGGGCTCACCTCTGAGGGGGTCATGCAGTCTTCCACCTCGGTAGAGTCCTAAAAAGCCAAAATTCAGTTATTCATTCATTGCTTCAACAAACAGATTTATACAAAGTAAATGTTCAAAACGCAACACCTGATTGAAAACCTAGTATACATGTGTTTGCTTCAGTGTAGTATGGTAAAGACACAGGCTGTAAACCAGTGCAGCATTTATATCTACCAGTCTATGAGAATACGAGGCTGAAGGAAAACTTTGGTTTATTGATCTCTGTGCAGCCAGAATCCCGAAAATTACACTGACAACAACAATAAAACTCTGAGAATCAACCACCTTTAAATAAAAAACACACACACAGTCGCACAGACCAGGCATTCAGACCCGAGTGAAAGCTGATGAAACACTGACAGACATTCACACCTCACACCTCTCTAAAACACACACACTTTCTCTCGCTCTCTCTGCTAAAGCACTCTAATGCTCTGGTTTGTGCACCACAAATATTTTGGTCCAGCACTCACTACGTGTGTGTCGCAAGGCAACGGTTACTAAGCAACAGTCTCTAGGCGGCAGACAATCTTACCGCCATGGAGATCCTCACACGTTTGGGCTTGGGCTTTCTTTTTTCAGAAGGAGCCGGCCCAGCCGGGCTCTTCCAGCCGGGGAGAGAAGGCATCAACACAGCACAACATTAACACAGCGTCAGTGGAAGCGGACAGTTTTTCCCCTTTAACATCGCGCCACTGCAACATTGGAGCCCAGTCTGACTTCTGCTGGGAGAAGTCTTTGTGATGAGAGCACAATGTTGCTGAAAGGGTATAATTACTACACCACAGATGGAGGTGAGGGCACAGAAGCTGTACAAGAAGCCCAACGGTTAATACAATATGATGCACTGCCAGAAAAAAGGAGCTTGAACATCTTATATTTTAGTATTTTAATATCTCGTGTCATCCCTTTAGGAGCTTTGCAGCTGAGAGCAAATGTCTTATTCAATCAGCTTCTTTAATGAACAAATGGCTGCTACTTCAAATGGTTGGATAAAAAAAAAGAAAAGACTTTATCCCATTTTTGTGAGTTTTTGAGACTTTTACATCATCGCCATCATTTTATTTGGCAAAAAATTGTCAGAAGATTCAATAAAGTTTTTTATTTTCAAAGTAACTTGAATTTTCTGGCAATTATTTCAGGGTTCAGATACTATGGTTACATTTGTCAACACAACCTGCCTATTAGGGCCTACATGAGGGTCAGTCAAGTGTCTCTACAAAAGGTTGTGGTTTTTTTTTTGTAATACCTGTTCTACATTTCTTTTCTTTGTCCATCCGTGCATCTGTATTTTAAATGTTTATCCGATTTAGTGTCACAGGAAGGCTGGAGCCTACCGTCTTGGTCCGAGCGGAAGGCTACAGTGTGGACAGGCTGCCAGCCTCTAAGGTGAGTAACATAATAACAAAGATATGACACTGAGGTCAGTTTTTTCCACTTTTTGGGTTTTTTTCTGGGGGCAATGCTAATTTTTAATCTACAATCATAATTTCTAATTTTGAAATGTGCAAATCTCATACACCCAAATTTTATTCACAACACAGAAAATACATCAAATGTTTAAATTGAGGAACACTTCCCAAACAGCAAAGAAGAAGCCATATGTGGACATGATCCCAAACTGCTGCTGTCTCCTCTGAACCAAAGCTCATTTAAAATGGACTCAGACAAAGTGGAAAAAAGTGATCATACGATTTGAAATTGGAAATTATTTTTGGAAGACGTGAACCCAGCTATCAGCTCTCAATTCAAACCTCTGCATTTCTGATGGTATTGAGGTGCCTTAGAGCTGATGTACAACTCGTACATATCAAGGTTTGTACAGATTTTAGAGCAACATCTAGATGAGGGTTTGAGGGAAGGCCTTAAATATTTCAGTAATTCAATGCTCAACTGCATCCTGCATGTATTACAACTTTATAGTAGAAGAGTCTGAGTGCTGAATTGATCTGCCTGATGTCAGACAGTTAAATATGATATAGAAGATGCAGGACTGTTGAGAATCTGGAATCTTCAATCAGACACGAATGGGACAACACTTGTAAAATCGTCCTGCAGCTGATCTCCTCACTTCTCAGATGTTTACAGACTGTTGTTAAAAGAAGAGAGGATGCTGCACAGTGGAAAACGTGACTCTGTCCCAACTTTTTTGAGATGTGTTGCTGCCTTCAAATTCAAAATAAACCAATATTTTTATTAAAATGGTAAATTGTCTTAGTTTAAGCCTCTGATATGTTTTTGTTGAGAATAAAATATGGGATTATGAGATTTGCAAATATTTTGAATAAAGGTTGTAATTCAGCTTTGCTCTATGCTTTAAACTTCCAGGAGCGTGTTCAATATTACTTATTTTGACCAGTCCAAAACCAAAAATGTTTCATTTCCAGAACAGTAGAAACAGCTTGATCCTTTATGTGTGAACCGACTGAAATATTTAAACCCAAAACCATCAGGTTGACACGTTTTATATCTCTGATTGATCTACACCCGATTTTTAAAAAGAATTGCGCATTTGAACAGCGTTTGGCAGCACAGCAGTGGCTGAGGACTGAACTGTGCTGAAAGGTGTTGAAAAGAGATAAGAAACATTTTTTTAAACCACACTGCATGACGCCATGACCGCTTTAAATAAAACTAAAAAAAAGAAAAGAAAAAAGAAATGCTAAAATGTAGGATGTTAAAAAAAACCCGTTTGACCAGCAGTGGATGTGCTGTGCGGTGAGGGTGCAATGATTCATAGACGTTTTATACAAAAAGCTTCGACCACAGCATGAGATTACACAGGAAAACCCTGCTGTCTGTGGGTGGATCCTGCCTGTCAGCAGCAGGAGGACGACGAGGTGGACGATATATGTGAGGACTGAGAGAGCGCACACATCCCCGCTCGTACAGTGCATGTCGCACTCTTAAAGGACACTCGCACTCATGCATCTATAACATCTCTGCTTCTCCTCACCTCCAGCAGCTCCTTGTCTTGGTCAGCACAGGAAAGGGTCTGAGAGCCTCAGAGAGGGGACAAAAAAAAAGGTTTAGTACATTTGAATCTAAACTCTGATCTTTAATTTATTTGTTTTTGTAAAATACATACTGTTTGGCGTCTCTGTGTCACTGATGGCAGACACGGTTTTCAGGGCAGATTTAAGAGGAAGCTGAACATTGGAAACCACTGGGCTGAAGGATGAAGACTCCTCTGTGGAGATCTACACGGAAAATACATTAACGCAGGAAAAAAAGGACAAAAACAAAAACGAGGGAGACACACAAAGGACGAATACACATGCACGTAAACGAACAGGACAGCACAGGTAAGGGCACAGACGACAGAGACACAGAAGACACATTTTAATGTTAAAATACAAATGAAGTACATTCACACAGCTTGTAAGCACTTACCACAACAGCTGTCCAAAAACTCCATCTGTGCCTTTACCTACTGCTACATGCTTCACACATGCTGATCCACTTTTAGTCTACTGCTACAACCCCAACCCAATCCAGACTTCGCCCCAGCCCAGCCCTGGCGCCCCCGGACGCCTCACACCTGTTGAGTGCTCACCAAGAAGCGGACCGCTTGGCGAGCACTGGAATTGGTCGAGGAGTTGAGGTGGGTGTGGGTGCAGGGAGAGCTGGGGGTGCTGTCACTGGTAAGACTGGGCAGGTGATCGTGCGTGCCGTTGTCCTGCGCCAGCTGGCGGAGGTACTCCAGCCTCCTCTGGCGTGACAGCTGAAGCGAAAGCAGCGACTGGAGCTGCAAACGCTCTATGGAGCCCAGCAGGATCATGGAGTCTGAGGGAGAAGGAAGGGCACGGGAGAGGCAATGGCAAGGGAGGAGTAAAATTATTAGTTAGGGGCTGTGAAAACAAACAAAAAAAAGCACATATTAAAAAGAAAATCAGACAAGAGAGGTCGGTATCGTCTGGGACTTTTTAGTGCTGTAGTACTGCTGATGTGAGTTGCCTCTGGCTTAGAATAAGTCATAACTTTGTGCTGAATGCATTGACATGTCTCTTAATGGGACCTTGTAATTAATTAGGAGGCACAAGCACAGTGATGAGCTCATACCCATACTGTGTATGCTCTTACCTCTGGATTCAACCAGGGCCAGCGTTTTGAGCTGACCTGTCATTAACATCTCTTGCAGATCCCGATAGGAAGAGTTAAGAGTGATGTAGCGCACATCTCTGACCATGATGTCCTCCACACGGATATTATACTTCCTGAAACATGGAGGAGAAGATAGAGGTTAATGAGACACCTGCAAACATAAGGGAAGGAAATGAACGGGAAGATAAGCGAAAGGAAGATGAAGAGGAAATGGAATAAAAAAAGTGAAAAAAGGTGCAGAATCACTGGAAAATAGGAAAGCAGCATCAGCATCAGCCGACTCACTCATGATGTCCCATCCCCAGCTCAGGCAGATAAGGGAGCTTCTTGATGCGAATGATGGAGTCGTACAGCGATGGTTGGAGCGCCTGGGCCACGGCGTTGGCCAGGATCACAGCGATCATCACAGGCAGGATGTGTGAGATCTGACCGGTCAGCTCGAACACTATGACCGCTGTGGATACAGTGTGGGTGACCGCTCCAGACAGAGCAGCAGCACCTGTGAATGAAGGGAAAATCTTTTATATCTGTCAGTCTCCTTGAAGCCATTTACATGGAGCAAAATGGCAAAGATGGAGTGTCTGATCCACAGAAAAAGTTTAAATTTACATGTATATACAGAATATAAGGCAAAATCTGAGTTTATACAATTCTAATGAGAGTCAATTGTAATAATGAGTCAACATTTTGTGTGAACACCTTTCTTCTTCATCATAGCCTGAACTCTCTTAGGCAAGCCTTTTGTAATTTTTAAAACAGGAACAGCTTTTAAGGCTTCCTGAAGGGCATTTAAAGCTCTTCTTTGAATGTTGGCTGCCTTTTATTTTGCTCTCTGTCAAGATGATCTCACACCATTTCTACAATGTTGAGTTCTACTGTGTGTTTTTCCATCAGGTATGATTTTATTGTACTGGCAGTGTGTTTGGGATCGTTTTCATGCTAAAAAATAAACCTGTCAGACGCAGCACTAAATCATGACAGTGCCTCCAGATGGCTTCAGACACACTGTGTTGTATCACTTTCCTGACTTTCACCATACATATATTCAAATCTGGGTTCATCACTCCATAATACCTGATTTTTCAGTAAAGTTGCTCTGTAATTTTGCATACCTCAGCCTTTTCTCTCCATTTCCTTTCCTCAAGAATGGCTACTTGACAGCCATCCTTCCACTGAGACCATTTCTAATGAGCCTTCAGTGAACAGCAGATGGATCACCCAAAGAGTCAGATGCATCTCTCAGGTCCTGTGACAGATGTTTGCTGGATCTTTTCCTATTTTCAGAGACTGTTCATCTGCTGTAGATTTTTTTGCGCCTGCCACTACTTCCCTTTTTTCTCAACTTGTCCAGCTTCCTTTTATGGACACACTTATGGTGAGATATGCCAAATTTTCAGGCAATAGCTCTTTGGGAATCACCCTGTTTGAGCAAAATTACTATGCTATAGCTATCAAACGCAGTTAGTTTGGGAATTTATCACGGAACTAAATAAACTAACTAAAAAAATTGTTTTTTTCTTGTTTTCCTAGTAATAAAATGCCTATAGAGACTATTTAAATTTGATTCTTTGATAAATTGTCTGTTACCTTTAGACAGAAAATGAGTTCATTCATTGAGTTAGCTACTTTGTTTAACGCTTGAATGAATCATAGGTCAATGTTAAGCGAAAAAACAACCCCAAAACAATCCTCACAGTCAGGTACAAGGACTGGACTGAAAATGAGGGTAAAAGCCGAAATCCAAAGAAAAACAGAAACTTGGAGAACTATTGCTCAAGACAACTTTTTTTTAAAAATGGCATAAAAGTCTGGCTGCTGGGAAGTGAAACGTAAAGAAATGATGGGTGGCTTAAAACTTTTGCTCAGTACTGCTAATTGTACAAAAATTTAAACAGCAAATTGAAACACTCAGCAATTAATCTTTCTGCTGCTCTCCCCAACACTGGCTTTGTACGTCCCAGAACAGAGTCATAGTACAAGTAATATTAGAAACAATCTTCTGACCAAACTGATAAAGTAGTAAAAACAGTGACGACTTTTCCAGCTGTGATACATTCTAATACTACAGGATCCCCACAAAAAGAAACTATGTAATTAATCTAATTAAATCTCAAAACAAACATCAATATAGAAATAGAGTCACTCACCAACTACAGCATAACCACCAGGAACTATGGGATACACGCTGCCTGCAGCATGTATACCATCAGGAAACATGGTTGCCATGATCTCACCAACAAGTCTGCCAAAGGCTGCACCTGCACACCAATACAGCAAGAACATTAGTTTAAGGTTCACCAGGACAGTGGAAATCATTTAAAAAAGAGAAAGAGGTTTAATTCACCAATAAGAAAAACAGGCATGAAGGCTCCGCATGGAACGGGCATGGTGGTGGCCACAGCAGACATCCAGAACTGAAAGAGGGAGACAGAGTTTCACAGACTTAACCATCTCTGAAACTCTTACAAGGCACCAAGATTAGACATACAGATGGAGTCTTGAAATACTATCATTAATTATGAAAAGAGAAAACAGTCCCACATCTGATTGTCTGACCCTCCCAGAGCCCTGATATTATCACAGAGTGAGTTTGGGATTAGACGAAGAGGCAGGAGACACTGCTGTGACCTCTGCCAAGCTCTCAATGACACTAAAGGTAATCGACAAGAACTACTTGTCACAGTAAGTTTGAAAGCGTCGGCGGTTTGATTTCAGTGCATAAAAGCCTTTCACGTCGCCTACCTTCATAACAGTGAAGAGGATGAGCGTGATGAAGACGTTGACCTGGGGGTGTTTCCAGGCATGGTGGTGGCTGATGTAGTCAAACTCCTCCGCCACACCCTGACGGCACCATGTCCGATTGTCAAACAGCGCCACTAGAGACTCGTGCTGCGTCAGCTGACAGATCGACACACGGAAACGCAAACACACACAGACATACCCAAAAAAGAAGCATCCTGAATCTGAATATCTGTTTTGGCTTTCTAACGTCAGAAGGATCTGTTTAGGTGACTCTAGCAGTCTGACAAGGTCAGCCACAAAGGCTCTGTTCGAATACAAGTCCCCTGGAAAAAGAAACGTTCAGTAACCAGGGGTCCAATTACATGTGAACCCATACTATTTGCTCTCTGTCTTAGAAAGGGCTATTTCCACCAAGGATTTTAAGGAGATTCAAGTTCTCAATGTTATTCAAAGTGCTGTGATTACATTTAGCAGCTGTTTATGGAAGCTGCACAAATGTTATGATAGACATCCAGGTAAAAAGTCCTCCCACACAAATTCAACAGCTCTGCGTATAGAAGAGTGGTGATAGCTGTTTGGCGACTGCTGGATTAGATGTGTAACTGCTCTGCAAAATAAATGCGTGAATTGATCTGACATGACTGAATTATGAACTATTATCAGCTCTGTTTAAACTGCATACAATTGTGTGTACTTTACAGTATAAGAGAGCACATATTTGTCCCATAGTGGGTTCTCTTCATTGGCTCCCTTTTAAATCCAGAATCAATTCTAACGTCCTTCTTCTCAAAAGATCCTGAATAATCAGGCCTATCTTATCTTAGAGATGTCCTATTACAATATCACCGTAAAAAAGCACTTCAGTCTCAGACAGTGGGCTTACTTGTGGCCCCTAGGATGTTTAAAAGTACAATGGGAGGTGAAACCAGCTCCCAGTTTGGATTCAGGAGACAGACACCCTCTCTACTTTTATGATTAAGCTCAAAACTGTTGTTTTTTAAAAAGCAGATCGTTAGGCGTATGGCGACCCCGAATCCTCTCTTAGTTATAGGCCTAGCCTGCTGGGGCTTCCCATGATGGACCTAGTGCTTCTTCTTCATCTCTTTTTACTCACTATGTGTTTATACATCACTTTGTATTTAATAATTATTTAATAATAATAATAATATGTGACTTCTACAGTGTGTCTTTTTTCCTGTCCTTCTCCTATCTCTTCCTGTAGAAAGAGAGTTTTTCCTTCCCACTGTTGCAAAGTGCTTGCTCGTAGGGGGTTTTCTGATTGTTGGGATTGTTACTTTACAATATGAAGCGCCTTGAGGCAACTGTTGTTGTGATTTGATGTGATAAAAATGAAATAGAATTGAACTGACAGCTGCTTTTAATACTGAAGAAAAGTTCTGGAGCATCCCCACTCCACTCCCAGATACAGAGTTACACTGCTGAAATAAATAAAAAAAATTATATATAAATAAAAATTAAGATCTTGTTGCAGTCTTCCTTTTCTGATTCCCAGTGATTAGACTACATCTGTCCCCGTGCTTTGGGAATAGCCTTTAAGCCCTCTTGAAGCCTTTATGTAGGCTTCATTTAAAATGACCATCAATCATCTCACAACAGTCATTGCATGCTTCCATACTGTCAAAGGAGTGTGAAAGTATTTTTTCACCTGTCCAGCCATGAACTGTCCGAAGCCCGGAGGGAACGTGAGCGTGGAGATCAGCAGGGTGACAAGCGCAGGATACACCAGACGCCTGACAGGAAGAGATGGACTGTGGGGTCATTAATGAGTGTGCTTGACACACTGTATGTGCATACCTAGTTTCTTGGTGGTGTGGAAAGAGAGAGATAGTGTATAAATAGCTCCCGATGACGTGTGTGAAACCGACCCAATTCATACAAGAGATTTACCTACATTTCCCAGGACTACATTAGCTTTGTGACATAGAGTGTGAGGCCAATTTTAAATAGAAGCATAGGAGCACATGGGCAGGATGTTCATGATCCTTGTGTTTAGTTAGAGTTTAACCAGCTAAAATGTGTCAGTGTGTGGTTGTGTTTTTAGATGTGTCTTTAATATCTGACATATGCTTATTGGTTTTAAGGCAGAGTAAGATGAGAAGATCATAATACTGTTATTATTTCAGTTTGTTAAATATGAAGTTAAAGCCAACAGATGATAGCTTAACTGAGTATAAAGACTGGAAACTAAAGAGTATAATTATATATATGACGGACAGAACAGTGCAGTCTGAAAATAAAAAAAACAACACAAAGTGCTTTCCCCCCCCCCTATTTCCCACAGAGGGTTGTAAAAAAGACTAGTGGAAAATTAAGCTTGTAGTAAAATGCCTAATGAATTTATGATTTCAGTCACTAGTTTATGTCCTCTTGAATACAACATGATACTCATTTTATAGCTTCCCAGTTCCCACTGATGGTGACACCCAAAAATGCTCAGCTTGAGGCTTCCAAATGAGCCGACACTTGCCATGTCCATCTTTTACATACAGTCTATGTTGGAAACAGCTAGCCTTGCACTCAAAGCTCCTTGATTTACAAGCTTTGTCTTTATTTGGCTCCTTTGTACACAAGTCAACCTGAAAAGTTGCTGTTTTACAATAAGTTATTTGAAAGACTTTCTTCATATGCTGTAAAACTTTAGTTTTGTATGGATAAAAGTGAAAATAGTTGAGCGGGAAGAATGATACTTTGAGGAGATGATGAAGAAAATGAGAGTGATGAGGACGGATGGAGGAAAGGTAGTGAATTAGGAAGTGCAGAGACCAATAAAGATGAACTGACAGCAGCTTTGAAGAAGATGAAGCACGGCACTCTGGGACTATGGAGATGTCTAGAAGAGAGGGTAGTGGACCTTTTAACCAGATAAGGAGATTAAGTGTACTGGTACCTTCGTGAACAAGCAGGATGTGCAGAGCTATAGTAACTACAGTGGGAAAAAGTTGATAAGGCATACCATGAAAGTATGGCTAGGCTGAGAAGAGAGCTGACGATCAATGAGCAGCAGTATGAATTCATACAGATCCAGTGTTTGCTTTGAGGAGGTAACAGGGAATTGCACTGTGTCTTTGTGGAGTGGGAGAAAAGTATGTGAGGGTGGTGTAGGACATGTATGAGGAGGTGGGGGTGGGATTACACCGGGGATCTCCTCTGAGGCCCTTCTTGTTTGCAGTGATGTTGGATAGGTTGACAGATGAGGTCAGGCAGGACTTTCTGTGAACTCTGATGTTTGCAGATGACATTGTGTTCTGTAGTGAGACTAAGAAGCAGGCGGAAAACTCTGGATAGGTGGAGGTATGCTCCGTAGAGAAGAGGAATGAAAGTCAGTAGAAGTAAGACAGAATATACGTATGTACACTCAACAAAAATATAAACGCAACACCTTTGTTACTGCTCCCATTCCCCATGGGATGGACGTAGAGACCTAAAATTCATTCCAGATACACAATATAACCATCCCTCCCAAACAGTGGTCACAAATCAGTCCAAATGTGTGGTAGTGGGCACATCTGCTATATTGAGATAATCCATCCCACCTCACAGGTGTGCCACATCAGGATGCTGATCTGACATCATGAGTAGTGCACAGGTGTACCTCAGACTGCCCACAACAAAAGGCCACCCTGGAATGTGCAGTTTTTTGCGCTATTGGGGGTCTGGGGACCCAGAACCGGTCAGTATCTGGTGTGACCACCATTTGCCTCATGCAGTGCAACACATCGTCGCATGGAGTCTATCAGATTGTCAATTGTGGCCTGTGGAATGTTGGTCCACTCCACTTCAATGGCTGTGCGAGGTTGTTGGATATTCGTGGGAACTGGTACACGCTGTCGTATACGCCGGTCAAGCACATCCCGAACATGCTCAATGGGTGACATGTCCGGTGAGTATGCTGGCCATGCAAGAACTGGGACATTCTCAGCTGCCATCTGCCCTGAACAATGTGAACCATGATTCATCCGTGAAGCGCACACCTCTCCAACGTGCCAGACGCCATCGAATGTGAGCATTTGCCCACACAAGTCTGTTACGGCGACGAGCTGGAGTCAGGTCAAGACCCCGATGAGGACGACGGGCATGCAGTTGAGCGTCCCTGAGACGGTTTCTGACAGTTTGTGCAGAAATTGTTTGGTTGTGCAAACCAATTGTTCCAGCAGCTGTCTGGGTGGCTGGTCTCAGACGATCTTGGAGGTGAACCTGCTGGATGTGGAGGTCCTGGGCTGGTGTGGTTACACGAGGTCTGCGGTTGTGAGGCCGGTTGGATGTGCTGCCATATTCTCTGAAACGCCTGTGGAGACGGCTTATGGTTGAGAAATGAACATTCAATGCACGGGCGACAGATCTGGTTGACATTCCTGCTGTCAGCATGCCAATTGCACGCTCCCTCATTGCTTGTGGCATCTGTGGCATTTTGCTGTGAGACAAAACTGCACATTCCAGGGTGGCCTTTTGTTGTGGGCAGTCTGAGGTACACCTGTGCACTACTCATGATGTCAGATCAGCATCCTGATGTGGCACACCTGTGAGGTGGGATGGATTATCTCAATATGCAGATGTGCCCACTACCACACATTTGGACTGATTTGTGACCACTGTTTGGGAGGGATGGTTATATTGTGTATCTGGAATGAATTTTAGGTCTCTACGTCCATCCCATGGGGAATGGGAGCAGTAACAAAGGTGTTGCGTTTATATTTTTGTTGAGTGTAGATGAGAGGGAGGCAGATGTAACTTGTGTAGCAGTGAAGCATAAGTAGTGAAGGTGGAGTTGAAATACCTGGGATCAGCCATTCAAAGCAAAGGACTGCACGCAAGAGAGACAAAGATGAGAGTGCAGGCCGGGTGGAGAGGGTGGAGATGAGTTTCAGGGGTGATTTGTGACAGAAGAACAGCAGCAAGAGTTAAAGAAAAGCTTTACAAGATGGTAGTGAGACCTGATAAAAAGACAGAGGGCTGAGCTGGAGGTGGCAGAGCTGGGAGTGAGCAGGATGGACAGAATTAGAAATGTGTAAATCAGTGGTTTGGAGACAAAGTTAGAGAGCCAAGGCTGAGATTGTTTGGACATGTGCAGATGAGGGACAGTGGACATGTCCGGTAAAGAATTCATGGATGTGGCGAAGGAGGACATGCAGAGGGTTAGTGTGACAGGATGCTAAGTGCAGGGTGAGATGGAAGCAGATGAAGTGCTTTAGAGCCTCATAAAGGGACCAGCTGAAAGAAGATGGATGAGGGAGAAAGTGTGTATACAACCAACAGCAGGTTTGTGAGTTTGTGAGACAGTTTGTGCCTCAGAGTAAGAGCATGAAAAAAACGATGTTATACATTAGTCAGCTTTAGATGAGTTGGTTAGCTAGTTTCAGTACCCTGTGAAAGATCCACAGTCATTGTTTCCAGTCTCAGTTAAGCTAGCTTTCTGCTAGCAGTTGCAGTATTAATCGTTTCATCAAACTCTGTGAGTAATTTCCAAATATGTCAAACTGTTCCTTTAAGCTGGGCAAGGGGACGTTGGGTCTATGAATCTACAAATGTTTAATGATTTTGTGTAAGACTGGGATGAGATACTTACTTCCTCAGCAAGAACTTGTTAATTGTCTTCTGCTTCCTCATGCACTCGACTATCAGCCGGTTCAGGTAGACGAACAGAGCTCCCCCAAAACCACACGCAATCCTACACACACACACACAGACACGGCTTGTTTGGCCCGTTGAAGGTAAAACAGAACAGCATTGTGGTGCAAAACAAAAGCAGCCACATGGAAAAAGAATTACCACAAATGAAACAAAGCTACAGTTTTGCTATGCCTGGTTAAGTCAGTCACAGTTGGAAGCTCTTTTCAAGGAAGCCAACCGATGTTAATTCATCGTTTCTCTCCATGAAGATACATCAAACAAATCACATTTGGCACGTTCTGATCTGGACCGAGCCTCTGCTTGTAATCAGCAGAGTAAAAAGTTAATTTCATGCCCCGTTCATCGAATACAAATCAACCTTCAGACTCTTAAAAGACTTGGGAGAACGGCAGAAAAGGAGCTCAGATCTCCTCAGTAACAGAAGCTGCTTGGGGATCAGGGCTCCGTTTAATGTGGCGCCAGTCCAGAGAAACACACTCACCCCAGTATGGCAAAGGCTGGCAGCTCCTGAAGGTCAAACGGGAAGTCCAGACGGAAACGGGTCTTAAAGAGAGCAGTGATGGTTTCTGAGAAAAAGAAGACTGTTCTCACTCTGCTATACAGCAATATGTTACGAATGAAAACTGGCTTTTAAACTGAACCACTAAAGACAACCACTTACCTCATCACGCCTCTTAAAGATATACTTATATATACAGAATTAAATTTTATATAGAGTCTCATTAAAGTAGCCACCATGTTAGGCACACCTAGTAACTCGTTAAATTGAATTGGAAAGGGGTTCCCTTTTCGATTAAGTTCACCCTTTTATATGAAAGAGATCCACTTTGGCCTTCAGAAATGCATTAATTCTTAATGGCAGAGATTTAACAAGGTGCTGGAAACACTTCTCATGACATGATAGCATCACACAGTAGCTGTGGATTTGTCAGCTACACATCCTGATCATGTCCTGATGATCCTGATCCATCATGATGTGAATCCCCTGTTTCACCACATCCCAAAGGAGGTCATCTGAGTACAATGAACTTAGTGTCATGTTCAGGGACAATAATTTTGAGATGATTTGAGTTTTGTGACATGGTGGAAATGATCAGCAACAATGTTCAGGTCGGCTGTGGTGTCGTGTGCAAAGACAGTAGAGAAAAGACTATTACACTAGCACCACCAGCCTCAACCACTGATAAAAGGCAGGATGGAGCCATGCTTCCATGTTGTCCATGCTGAATTCTAACCCTATGATTTGAAGGTCACATCAGAAATTGAGATAAATCAGACAAGACAACATTTATCCAATCCTCTATTGTCCAGTTTTGGTGAGCCTGAGTAAATCGTAGCCTCAGTTTCCAGTTCTTAGCTAACAGAAGCAGCACCTGGTGTGGTCTTCTGCTGCTTCAGCGCTCTCTTTCAATGACTGACATGATGTAAATTTCCGAGATGCTCTTCTGTATGTCTTGGTTGTAATAAGTGTTTGTTGGGGTTTCTGTTGCTTTCCTGTCAGCTTGAAGCATTCAGGCCGTTCTCCTTTGACCTTTGACATCAACAAGGCATTTTCGCCCACAGAACTGCCTCTCACTAGATATTTTTTTGCTTTTTCAGACCATTTTCTGTAAACCCTAGAGGTAGTTGTGTGGATTGTGTAGATCAGCAGTTTCTGAAGTACTCTGAGCATCAGTCTGGAACTGACAAACATGCAACATTTAAAGTTGTTTAAATCACCTTTCTTCCCCATTCTGATGCTCCAGCAGGTCGTCTTGACCATGTTTAGATACCTAAATGCACTGAGTAGCTTCCACGTGACTGGCTGATTAGATTTATTTTAACGAGCAGTTGAATAGATGTACCTAATGAAAGGGTCGGTGAGTTTAAATTAACTCGTTTAATTGCATATTATGATATTTTTCTTGAAACAGAACTGGAAGAGTCTGTTTCTGTTTTGTACTTTACCTTCCTCCTGATTCCAGACAGCAAGCACTCTGAATATGAAGGCGCTGAAGGTGGCAGCGAAGAAGCCCCTCCAGTAGTTCCTCACAGCAAAAAATGTTGACGTGACCTCAATACTGAACAGCACCCCTGCAACGCACAAACATACATACAGAGAATGAGACGTTCCCAGAGCCCAACTGCAGTCAAGAAAGCAGCAAATTCTCAACTTTATTTTAATATCAGATATTCTAGCAAAGAGCTATTCTCAGGCTTTCACCTTATAATTATTTAACTATCAGATGATCTCTATAAATCGTGACCTTCCTTAACTGATTCATGTAGTCTATAACATTTTAGAAAAACACAAAAATACCACAGTAGCTGCATATTTAGCTTCAGTGACTCAGTGAATCAATTAAATACTTCAGCTCTGATCATCACGGCTATAATCTTTTGTTATTTTCTCATGGATTTTCAGCATTTTGCAAAAAACCCAACAAAGATTTCTAAATCGCAGGACCTGTTTGTTTGCTTGTTTGGAAATGCCACACAGCTACATGAATCGTGTCTCGGTGAATGTGCAGTACATACTGTACTGTTGTCAGTATGAGTTTGTCTAGTCGTTCTAAATAAATGAGACAGGGTGTCAATCACGCCCCAAAAACAAGTTCCTCTTGTCGCTTGTGGCCACAAGCATCCATTCTATATGGCTCAAATGATGCCGACGAGAAGACATTGATCAAAATAATTATAACTTAAGGTCCTCTTTACAGCTTTTATTAGTCTTGTCATTGTCATTAAGCATAGATTAAAATGCTAAAGAACACATCACTCTATTCAAACCGCTGTGAAAGAATGGGCACCTTTATTTAGCAAGCAAATTTCAAACACAGAAGTGAATTCACACGACAATTAAAACCTTCTGAACAACCTGACTCATGAAGAACGTCAATTAAGAAAGAAGAAAATAAGGTCTAACAAAAAATCTGATAATGAAACAGAAGATGGAAATTCACCCTAATAATCAACAATTAGAGCAAAGGTCGAGAAGTACTTGAAGTTCTCTGGGGGAAAAAATGGAAATTTTAGCATTTGCATAAGTGGGCGAGTCCATCTGTTGAAGAAGATGGTAAGATGCAGTCGAATGCAGAACAACCACCGAGTGATACCAAGTATGATTCATCATGTGAGCATCCACGGAAAACCACTTTAATCTGAGGATTTTAACGTGGATCTAATGTGGATGATTATGATCTTCACCCTTGAGAAAACATAATCCTAATCCCCGCTGCACCACAAGTATCAACAGCCAACAGTTAAACAGGACCACTAAGACACAACGTCATCCATTTAAAGACATAAATCTAATAATCACTCTTTTTTAACCCACGTTGATCCCTATCAGCTCCTGCAGAGCAGAAGCTCCTCAGCTGCTTGAAGTCGCCCAAAGCACCACAAATTTGAGAATTATCTGTATGTTTAACGCTAAGTACAACAATTCTGCACTGTTTTCATGTTATAGTTTGGTGCATTAGTATTATAAAATATCATTTAGATCACTTTCAAAGTAATTTAAAGAGTTGATCAAGTAAAAGTTGATAACAATGCTCAAAAGGTTATCTAAAGTTACAGGAAACATTAACATTCATGGACACATGAGCATTTGGCAGCTGACAGAGTTTGCTTCTCTGAATGAAAAGCAGTTTTTAAAGTTTTAATGTAGTTTCACATGGGACTGTATATTAACCATCAGTGAATACGGTAGATTTACATTTGAACTTGAAGCCAACTTAATTTATCAGTATGAGGAAGGTTTAGTCTGCTAAAACGGTGAGAACGGAAGAGCTGAAGGTGTTAAAACTTCAGCAGTGCTGACTTCACTGTTAGAGCTGTGGCGGTCTATCAAAATAAATATGTTGCCGACAGCAGTTAAAGAGGATTGGTATTAGGTAGTAAAAAGAAAAACAAAATAAGTGATCATTCAAATACACATATAAAGCCAAAGAGGCATACATACAGTAGGTTGGGTCATATAGTCATGTGGGTTTAAGCCCATCAATCAATCAATCAATCAATCAATCAATCAATCAATCAATCAATCAATCAAAGTGGAGCACCTAAAAGAAGACGTGTGTACCCTCAGGACCAAATATGGTGTTACACATATCTTAATCTATATGTGGCTGTATAAGATGGGTTGTTTTGTGGTTACAACCCAATTTAAAATGCTGTATGTAATATGGTTAATTGGGATCCCGGAGAAGGCCAGAACATGTCAGTCTACCAATTAAGTTCTCCTAACTAAATGACAAATAGAGCAAAGTTTCCGGCTCAACTTCACCCAATTAAGGAGCGCGTGAAGGAGAGGAAAAGGTCTGAAGAGGTTAAAACTCCAGCAAAGCTTGAAAAGAGCATTTGAAGAGGAGTGTTTGCAGACTTTTTTTTAGCTAGAAACGGTGTGTGCCGTACACTCACTCCACTCTGTAAAAAAACAGTACAGTTCAAAGAAATCATTAAAAGGCCAAAATTAGCATGACTGTCATAGCCATGATGAGTATGTGTAAATGTCTGACCACAACTGTATTAATAAATATTTTAACCTCATGGCATGTTCACGTGTAGCCTAAAAAACATGCATTTTGACATCAAGCATTAAAAGAAAAGTGCTAAAGCTGGAGAGAAGAGTTGGGCTTGTTATGTGCTGCTGTATCATAGGATGACATAAGCTATTAACGAATGAAATACGCAATATTCCTTCCTATGGACAGCCATTAGACTGAGAGTCAGACTTTGAGAACCTTGGATTTAGACAAATATACTGACTAAGACTGGCATCTTCGGCTGCTAGTGGGGTAAATATTCTCTTCATCTAATTAGCTCCTGTAAATGTCTCGCATAATTAAATCCAGTTCAATCAGAGGCTACAGTCGTGTTGACTTACCTCCAATAGGAGCAGCAAAGCAGCAGCCCACACCCACCGCACAGGCAGCCGACAGCATCTCCGTGTTCCTCAACTCATTCTGTCCAACAAGGGTCAGATACACGCACATACCAATACACGCAGAGCAGTGCATTCAAGCAAATACACACACATTCAAATCCCAAGAGGTGTATGTTTATTTGCAAATGCCACAAACGTACATCCAAAACCAGTTTTATTTTACAAACGCAGCAGTTTGACTGCAAAGCTGCTGTTTGCACACATTCGACGAGATTACTTATATATGATTGGAGTTTGATGGGAGGCTATAACTGAAAAACCATGATTGAGGGTTGAAATCATGAAATGAGATGTTTGTGTCGAAGCAAAAGCAACACAGATCGATGCCTCTTTGCGGCGGTTCACTGAACAGAATCTAACACAGCGCAGACAAATGGAAAGACATCAATCTGTCTCAGCTCTCAAATGGACAGCTTGAATTAATGTTGATGGGATTGGAAATAAAGAAACTATCCGAGTCATGCATTCGTACCTTGCTTCCTTCAAAGGGCTCTTCCTTTAGCAGTAAAAGTGAAAAGAGGACAGACATGTGTGAGTGTAGTGGTTACCTTTTTTTAAATGTATGTTTTTTTATCTTCCTCCTGGAAGACATCCAAGTTATTATTCAAAGCAAGCAGACCCAAACAAGCAGCGAATGAGCTTCAGCAAACAATCCTGATTTTACTGTGAACTGAATTAACATTTTCCCAGACTGATTAGGTTTAGTGGTCCCTGCACTATTTGAGTCGTTCTAACTGTGCTGACACGTGTTTTTCTTCCTTCACATCACTGCAGTCTATCTTCCTCCACGCTGATGTGGCTGTTGATGCAAGGAGGAGAGGCACATCACAGTATCCAGTGGAGAAATAGACAGAAGCTCAGGGTGAAGTCTCACATGAGTGGAGGTGAGAGTCCGTCCTGGGGAACGGCAGAAAGTCGAAGAAATGTCAAAGATTTTTCAAATAAAAACTGCATGTGCGTGTGTTATTTGCCCTTCACAGTGATTATACTCAAATAAGGAGGAAGGTGATAAATCATGAAATTACAGGCTTAAGGATTTACATGATTTATTCCACATTTGCTTTTATTTGCCTCCCACTTGTGTGAGTTAACGTGTATGTGCACATATCAGTGGCACTCTCAGCAAAGCGTGGTACACACTCACATGTAAGCTCTTCGTCTGCTGGTTTGAGTTTACACACAGAAATGATAAAGTAGTTTAGCTCAGTTTAGCTTTAGGCTCATTCTCGGGGACTTGGTATTGGATCAGCGCAATACTTTGTTGCATCTTGTAACTATGTAACCCACTGACTTGTGTTATATAAATGATTTTTTTTAGAAATGAAAAAATATACCTCAAACATGCACTATGAAAATGTCTGCACCTTTTATGTTCACTGTCATTACCATTTGATTTATAGCCTATAACACATTTAAGCAATAGAAGTTGGCCTTCAATGACAGGCACGTTTACAGTCCAGGTTTCCAAAAAAAAAGTTTCAACATACATGAAAATCTGACTGGTCTGTTTTATTGTGTTAGTTAATTACTGAAGAAAATAAAAGTCACAGTGATTTAGCTAGCATCGCACAGGTACTACTAAGAACCCCCCACCACTTTTTTTTTTTACTTCTCGTTCATGTTAAGCCACTACTAAAGATCATTAACTTGTGTTTTCTTTTTTTCATAGTTTGTAATATCATCTGCTGCCCTTTCCTCAACCTGATTCTGCTGCAGGTCTCTTCCTCTTATCGGGGAGTTCTTCCTTCCCACAATTCCCAACCAATCTTATATCTTATAGTCTTTACCTTACAATTGAAAGTGGCTTAATATGACTGTTGTTATAAGTTAAAACTATATAAATAAAACTAAATATGAATTAATCCTTACTTCACTTTCGAATGTGTAATTTAACGAGTTCATTTGTAACTCATTATGCCCCTCTGAAACCCCTGCTGGTCTTGAAGTGGCAGTGTGATAAGGTGAGGGAGGGCCACCACTTCTTGTGAGAAGTTATCGAGCTCTCGTTATGCACTAAAAAGTTTAACTTAGTTAAACTAGCACCCTTTAGACTCCCTGCCTTCAAATTATGCTTCATCACTTCATCCAGGTCTCTCTTGGAAATGAGATTTTTTTACCTGGATAAATAAAGGATTAATAAATCCAACACATTTCAAAAGGTGCAACTTTTACTCAACTAGTGGCAAAAGCAATCACAAGGAGGGTTTTGGTGCAGCCCTCTCTTTGCTACAGATAGTACCCTAGCCAATGCCTGCAACCACATCACGACCAACCAGGAAATACGCATTTTTCCCTAGCGACTGGAGGTTGCCAGGGGGGGTCACTGACTGGTCTTTGGCAGCAATGATCTGTAGTGACCCTTCATACAGTTTAGACCAGTGACAGTTATCTTTACAATGAATCTGTTGTTGTAGTGCTTCTGATAGTAATGTAAGGAAGTGGCTCTTTCACTTTTCCCCACTCATAAATTTGGGGAAACAAACACTCCCCAATATTGAGGCTAAAGTTAGGATCTAAACAGATCTCACTACAAATATCAGCATGTGTGACTCTGCAGCTGAATGTGAGCACAAAAGGGGTCAAATTAACAACTAGTGATGATGATTGATGAATAGAAGACAGAAATACATTTCAAATTTTTCACACCAATTTTTCAAGCTTTTTTAAAAATTATTGTAAAGAGCCAAAAACAGCTTTCCTGTTTAATTAAAATCAGAGGCTCAATCTGACTGAAAACATTTGTGGACTTGAGCTGCAGACATACGAGAACTCATAAATTAGATTTTATCACAGACGATAATATGACACTTTTTATAGAAGTAAGCGGAAAGCCCTCAAACACAGTGCTGTGCTGCAGTCTGCTGGGACATCTGCATATCAGTTGTTCTCCATCCTCACCTTGTAAATCCCACCAAAAACAGCAGCCATAAATTTGCTCAGGAGAGCGGCGCACAGACTGGCAACATGAACGAAGGGTCCCTGTGAGGGAGGATAGAGAAAGGCAGACGTTAGAAGACAGGACACGACTAAAAGCACACTTAAGCAGAGCATGCTGCATCCAAGATCAAGAGCATTATTCAAAAACCTTTGCACGATTAAACCACGCTCAGATGCAGATTCAAACTGCTTTATTACACCCTGGATGGGAAATGTAACTGCTATTAGCAGTAAATCACACTTTTATTTTGACAGCTATGACTTTAATGAGACTAGAAGAGAGAACATTATTAAATCTTCCAGACCTACAAAAAAGCCTTTAATTCATTGGTTGTAATTTGTGAAGCCAAGAAGACTAATGGGTGAAGGCTAGGGGAAAAATAAACTCTCTACCTCCTTCCCCAGAGGCATTCCACTACCCAGCGCGCAGGTCAGACCAATCACTTTGGCAACAAAGGTCTTAAAAGTCAGATACTCCTTCAGGACCACCCCCCTGAGTATGGTCTTCATCTCTGGAATACCTGAACCTGAGAAATGAAAAGATGCCAGGTGGGATGATGCAGTGCAGAGAAAAGATGAGTTGAAAGAAAGCAATTACACAGAGGGGGGTGGGGGAATAAATGAAGAGCAAGAGGAGACAGTAAGGGGAAAAGCTGATTGATATTCATATAGTTTTAGTATGCACATCTCATCAGAGCTATATTTAATGGATTTCCTGCAGATGCAATCACTAAGACATACAGCACATGTCCTTGGAGCCCTTATGGAGCACTACAGAGCCAATTACACAGAAATAAGACCATGAATTAGAATTTGAATATAAATACATATGTTTATGTCCACATTCTGTGTGCATGTCTTACCCACAGCCTGAGGCGCAAGTATCTGTGTGAATCCTGCAGAGAAAGTAATGAGGACTACAGGGTAGCTGATCCAGGCAATGTACTGCAGAAGCAAGTTACTGTCCAGTCCACCGTACATCCACTTCTGTGCTGCACACACACATATATAAGGAACTTCATTTCAGTATCATGCAGTACAAAACTAAACTAGTCAAAAACTATTCCCAATTAATTTTCTGTGACTCCTTTTCTCTTCTTCTTCTCTTCGACTGCTTCTCTGTGCTCTAACCCCAAATCTCTGCCTTTGATTTCCTCACCCTCAGCAACTCCTCTTTAATCCTACGAGCAAATTTACAGTTTCAAAAACAGAGGGAAAAAAACGAAAGCTACTACTACTAAGCCAGCTGTGTATTTCGCCATCTATTTTTCTTCACTCGTACCTGAAAAAAAGATCTTTTCAAAAATGTTCTGATGCTCAGAGAGGATGCGCTGGAAAACATCAGCATGGGCGGAAAAGATGGCGTGTTTGCTCAGTCATGGCTGAGTAGTGTTTTGTTAAAGTTAATGATGTGTCAACCTTTTCATTTTATTTTATTTTTTACAAGTTTTGGTTTTGTTTGAACACTTTTAGGAAAGAAATGTCAGGAAAAATAATCTGGTTTATTATAATTTATTGTGAGATTTTGGGAATTTTTTGTATCAAATACTGTATAGTTTCTATTCACATCACAGATGTTTGTAAAATCCCAGTTTGTTTGAAATGTGAATAGAAACCGTGATTTCTAAATATTATGAACCAATATTTCATCACAATTAAATTGTCTTCACAATGCACCTCTTAGCCATTCATATGAAGCCTAACTCTTCGAGGTTTAATGCCGCCCCTGTGAGAACAGCATCACATTTGCTGTCTGTCCAGTCTTTCAAGCATCTCTCTCTCGTTTTTGGTATGCATCTCTTTCCTACCTTCTTGGCAGAAGGCGATGGCATAGTCCATCACCCAGCTGACCAGAGCCATGAGTAGCCCCAGCAGAATGAGGAAGATCCAGTCCTCCCCCACCCGTGAGATCAAGAACTTCTGGCAGCGAGATGCACACACTGAGGGCACAGAGAAACAGAGAGAGGGAATCAAAAGCAAAGAAATTCCAGGTGTGATGAGACTGCAGAGATATACTTGTTTGTATGCGACTCAAAGAAACACCAGTGTCAAGGAGAAAAGAGGAGAGGAGAAGGAAACTGAATTATAAATAATCAAACTGAATTATAAATAAGCTGAAAAAAGGAAGTCTAAATAATAAAACTTTTGAAAAAGATTCAAAACTGTAATATGATGTTGAATGGTTGAGTTAAAAAAGGTATGAATAAAAGATTAATACACCCATTCATTTAAACGTAATAGGCATAGACATATGGCTGCTACATATACAGGCATATTAGCATATCTATATAGATATGCCTAACCAGGTTCGGGTCGCAAAACCAGAGAAGCGGTAAAAACCGGATGGATGGACATTTTTAGAGTGAAAACTGTCGGCTTCACTGTTACAAAGACTAACCAGCTTGTTAGGACTATTTATTTATTTATTTATTTAGGACAGTGCATGTTAATGAACATAAATGTAAAAAAAAAAAATTACATGAATGTAAACATACCAGATTATAGCCAAGGGCTAATTTCCATCTGTTGTCCTTAAGCATAAAAATAGACATAATAATTCATAAAAATTCATCATTCATTCATAATAAAAATCCATCACCAAACTTACACATACACACCATTCTGTTCCCAAATAAAACATTAAAACTATACAACTTATACATGATCACACACTTGATTTGTCCATAACCAGTTTTTAACCTTTGCCTTAAACAAATTGAATGTCGAGCATTCTCTAATGGGTTGAGGAAGACTGTTCCACAGATGGCCACCCTGGACAGAAAGGACGTTCTGCCCAAATGCTGTCCGTCTGTGGGGTATAAACAAGTCTCCTCGGATTGTAGCTCGAGTGGTCCTGTCTGAGCTTTCTTTATGCCTAATGAACTGCTTTAGTGGTGGTGGAGCAAGGGAGTGTAAGACTTTATATATTAAACTCACTCTTTTAAGTTTCACTAAGTTATTGAAGTTCAGTAATTTATGTTTTTTTAACACATGACAGTGGTGGTGGGAAGTCGGTTTTTTGTCAAGTAGTTTTAAACTTCTTTTATAAATGTTTTCAATAGTTTTAAGTGTTGTTGGACAAGCAAGTGACCAGGACGTCAAACAATAGTCCATATGAGAGATGATCATTGAGTAAAAATAAGTTTTTGCAACATTCATATTTAAATTATTACGTATATGATTAAAATTTCGATTATTAAATTTAAGTACCTGGGACACTTTATTTATGTGACTCTTGAAGGATAATGTTGGGTCTAGAATGACCCCAAGATATTTAAATTCTGGAGCTAATTCAAGCTCTACTCCATCCAGGAATATGTTTGACTGCTTCAAGTTTAAGGGGCGTTTTGAAAAATACATACCGACAGTTTTTGAGGTGTTCAACATTAGGCATGAGTCCTCCAGCCAGCTATGCATTAATGCTAAAGCAGCTGTAAGATCTTTTGCCACCTGCTGGACACTATTTGCTTGCGTATATATAACTGCATCATCTGCATACATTTGAGTAAATATATTTGGACAGACTTCAGGTAAGTTATTGATAAAAAGAGAGAACAATAAGGGCCCAAGAACAGATCCTTGAGGAACCCCTGTATCACAGTCTAGATATGGAGATTTAACCCCATCCAACACCACACACTGTTTCCTGTGTGAGAGATATGAGGCAAACCACTGAAGAGCCTGACTGGAGATATTAAACCGAGTCAATCTGGATAACAATATCTGATGGTTTACAGAGTCGAAAGCCTTCCTCAGATCTAAAAATACAGCTCCAACACAGGGACTCTTGTCCAGCAAGCTCTTCAAGTTCTCCACTAACATACACAGGGCAGTATCTGTGGAGTGATGTGCCCGAAAGCCAAACTGCAATGGATGTAATGAGGGTTGGGTGTTTTCTAGGTGAGCAGTGAGGAGTTTAACCACCCACTTCTCAGCTATTTTAGATACGACCGGGAGTATGCTTATGGGGCGATAATTAGCCATGTCAGTCTTCACACCTGCTTTGAAAATTGGTGTAACTGCAGCAATTTTCCAATCTGTTGGAACAATGGAGTGTTTGAAAGACATATTCAAAACATGAGTTGTTGGACGTACAAGAAAATCCATATGTTCCTTTAGGAAGTTTGTGTTAATACCATATACATCAAGTGCTTTTGATTGTTTTAAACCTGTAATTAGTTTAGCAACTTCAGTGTCTGAAATATGAGTGATGGTGAACAAATTTTGACCAACATCATTCACATTATCAGAGCATATGACTGAGTCAAAGCTCTGACTGATCTCCTTAACAGATGAAATAAAGAAAGTGTTTAAGTTACTGGCAATAGATAGAGGCTCTCTAACAATAGAGTTATTTACATAAAGTTCAATTGTGTTTTTACTTTTGTTTGAATGACGGCCAAGTAATTTATTTAAGTGTTGCCAGATAATTTTACCATTACCTTTGGCTCTTTCAATTATATTTATAAAAAATTTTGCTTTGGCCTGTCTCAAACTTCTTGTTACTTTATTCCGCATTGAAGTAAATCTCTGTCTATCCAGAGTTAGACCTGTTTTCAGGAACTGCTTTAGTAATTGATCTCTTGTTTTCATTAAATTCTTGCACTCTTTGTTTAACCAGGGCAAATTAAATGTTGTCTTTATTTTTTGTCGAGCTCTAATGGAGTATGTTGATATAACATCCTTGACAATGTCAGTGAAGTGACTGCTGCAGAATTGTGGATCATCACTACACAATAAAGGCTCCCAGTTAACTGATGCTAATGCTTCTGCTACATTTTGTTGCTGACTTCTTGGTATGAATTCATAAAAGGATCTCCTATTAGATGAATTTTGAAAGTCATTCTTAACCCGTGATTTTATAAGTTTTCTAGAAAATAATATAAAATTGTGGTCTGAAATACCAGTGATAAAATTATAAGATTTAATAATGCTTGCCTGCCATAGCCCAGCTTTTAAAGAGGAAGTGTGACTTCTCTTTGGTAAATGTAACCTAAATTTCTTTGTGAGTTAGTTAAACAAAAATAAATAAATAAATAAAAGCTCACAAAAATTACTAATTGTCATATTTTGTTAAAGTCACATGATCACTCAACTCTACTACATATGGAAAAAATAATAACTCAGTTATATAAATAAACAACAACTAGTTGCATTCAAGGAACGTAACTTCTTTTGGTCCTACAAACTCAGTCACCCATTGGTTGCATTAATTAATATGTTTCAGCTGGCAACAAGTTATTTAACTCTAAACGGGACAGTGAGTAACTAAATTATTGGCCCGCATTAAACGATGAAAACAACTAAGGAGACTGCTGAAACTATTATAATAACAGTTCAAAGATAGTGATGAACTATCATCTTTTAAGAAGAAATATGGAACTCACGACTATATTTCGACATATACGCTGCAAAGAGATCTGAAGGGATTGGCAATAAACATCTGTGTAGACTTAAGAAAAACACTCATCAGTGAGACTAATCTGGAAAACAGGCTTCAGTTTGCCACATAAAGATTGGACCCTGGAGCAATGGAAAAAGCTCATGTGGTTTGATGATTCCAGATTTGACCTGTTTCACTGTGAAGGTTAAATCAGAGTAAGAAGAGAGCTGGATGAAGCAATGCACCCCTTGTGACTAGCGCTTGCTTTACAAGCCTGTGGTGGTGTTTTGATTTGGAGTTGCTTCAGGTGGTCAAGTTTAGGTTCAGAAACATTATTTGCCAAAAAAGGTGTTTCTACCAGTGGAGTTTTCTTTTACTGGTGGCACAGGCATATTTATAGATGACACTGCCAGGATTCACTGGGTTCAAATCGTAAAAGAGTGGTTGAGGGAGCATGAGACATCATGGGGTTGCACTAGTCTTAAATAAAAAAAAAAAAACTGAATACATTTTTAGGTCAGCACTGGACAAAATTTGAGTGATTTTACGTGTATTTTGATGAAGAAAACAAGAGTAAAAAGATGCAGTGAGCAGAGAGATGTTATCACGTTTGCACATGAGAGAATCACATTATCTTCATCCAGTTCAAATATGAGAATATCAAGAAAAAAAAGCTAGGTCATGGTTATAAATTCTACTATTACATTATAATCTATAACTCTGGGTTAGGTCAGCTAAAAGAAGCATTGCTGGACTAATTTCTCCTCGCTTGTCTGCGGACACTGCCAAAGCCTGGAATTCACAAATATCCAGAGCATTCATAGATGTGCCTGTCCCCAGAGAAGCTAAAAATGTGCTACTAACACATTTGCCAGATCCACACTTCATGACAGCGTTACAGCCAAGTGAGAAACCAAAAACACTTTTTTGTTAATTGTTCAGCTTGTTTGTAGAAACGGTTGTAGAGGAAAAAGTTTGATATTCGTCACTCATTATGTGACTAATTGGAAATAAATGTTCATTACGATGCAGTTTGTGACATTTGCTCAAAGCTTAAGTACTGAGCTGTCATATGAAATGATTTATCATTTTTAAATGAAACCAATCACATGGCAGCAACTCAATGCATTTACAGACATGGTTAAAAACAACCTGCTGAAGGTCAAACTGAGCACTGAAATTAACGTGGCATAGTTATTGGATGTTGAGTCTTTCAGAAACTGCTGATCTGCTGGGATTTTCCTAAACAACGATCTCTGGGGTTTATAGAGAATGGGCTGAAAAAGAAAAAATAACCAGTGAGCAGCAGTTCTCTGGGTGAAAATACCTTATTGATGCCAAAGAGCTGGTAGGAAGACAACAGCAACTCCAAGAACCACTCCAAGATATTCAGAAGAGCATCTTTGAATGCAAAACATGTCAAACCTTGAAGCAGATGGGCTACACAGCAAAAGAACACACCAGGTGCCACTCTTGTCAGCTAAGAACGGGAAACTGAGGCTATAATTGACACAGAGTTACCAAAGTTGGACAACAGAAGATTAAAAAAAACACCGCCTGGTCTAAGTCTTGAGTTCTGATTGTAGAATTTGGGGTAAACAACATGAAAGACTCATCCTGCCTTGTATCAATGATTCAGGCTGATGGTAGTGAGCTAATGGTGTGGGGGATGGCACACTCGGTACCTCTTAGTACCAAATGAATGAACTGGTTTCTTGAACATGACAATGAGTTCACTGAGTTCACAATGAGTCACATTACTCTGCCCCCACCGTGTAATGTGATAATATTTACTATTTTACATCAAGATATCTTGTGGTTATGTTGCTTGTATAATGTTTTGATATGGCTCAAAAAAAGAACTGTTCGTGTTAAATCTTGTTTGAATGGCATGCTGCTATTCAAAAACCAAAACAAGGAAAATGATAAATGAAAGGACTTTGCAGCAGTCTTTCTAGGCCGGGAAGCAGGTCACAATGGGATGCAGCATCTCCTGAGGGAAATGAGGCACAACTGTGTGCATGATGGGGCAGGCTGTCCAGCTGCCAGGCCACCTGCTGGATGGCAAACAGCCAGCATAGAACCTACACATGAACATGGGATAAGCATGCAATCTGACACATGACACAATCTCACACAGAGTCAAAAAGAAAACATGCCTCTGAAAAATATTTAGCAGATAAATCTAAGTGAACATATGAGATGACATGGTTTTCTAGATTGTGTCATTTTACTTGACAGTTCAGTTGAAATTCTTTGATAAAAGAAAGAGGGGGAATTCTCAGAGATTCTCTGTATGTATTCCCTTTAATCTCTTTCTCACACACACGCACACACAATCTTTAAGAGGACATTCACTGACGTAATGCATTCCCTAGCCTCTTAACCTGCCCTTATCTATCACAACAAAGTGCGTAATCTAAACATATTTTTAATATGAACCCTAATCATAAAAGGGCACCCGTAGTTTTATTTAATCTATATTGCTTTGCTGAGTTACCCTCTTTTTAGGGTTCTTTTGGCAGGTCCTGTTTAGCTCCATTATACTGAAGCAAAACTGGACAACTCACATAACAGCAATCTAGATGGATAAACAGCACTACAGCCAAAAGGGAAAAATTCATACGTCTAAACTGGAGTATGAAGTGTCCCTTATTTGACTTGAAACCAGCGAAAATGTCCCCATACTGATGGTCTTAGAATTTGTAGGGGTCCTCATAAAGGCAGCTATACAAGTACACACACACACACACACACACACACACACACACACACACACA